CCCCGTGGCATTCGGCTCTGTGTTTGGCTGGATTATAATAGGTCCCGTTCCGGCTTCAAATAGCTATGTACCAACTTCACATGTCATCTCAATGGTTTCCTCAATTGAATGTTTAATGGATAAGTTTTGGCRAGTTGAGGAACCAGAAGCTGCCCCTGAAACCTTCACAACTGACGGACGGTGTGAAACGATTTTTCGTGATAATTTTTCACGTGATGAATCCGGACGTTTTGTAGTGCCTCTGTTGTTCCGCCAGTCGGTTGCGGACAACACATTTTCCGGGTCACGCGCTGTCGCTCTCAAACGTTTTGAGTCTCTCGAGCGAAAGCTTACGTCGGACAGCCGGCTTCGTGAAGCATATTGTCATTTTATGGACGAATACTTGTCTTTAGGACACATGTCTACCGCTCCCTCTGAAGGTTCATATTTTATACCTCACCACGCCGTATTCAAGTCTTCCGACCCACAAGCAAAAATTCGTGTCGTATTCGACGCATCCGCCCAGTCGTTTTCWAGCACCTCTTTAAATCAATGTTTATTCGCAGGCCCGAAACTACAGCGAGACGTTATTGATGTGCTCCTGCTGTTCCGTCTACCGCGTCATGCCTTTACCGCGGACATTAATAAAATGTACCGACAGATTCTGTTGAATCCCGAACATCGTTGTTATCAGCACATTTTGTGGCGTGCATCCCCGCAGGATGAACTCAAGGCTTACGAATTAAATACTGTAACCTACGGGGTGAATTGTGCCCCTTTCTTGGCTATACGGGTACTTAGACACATCGCCGAATCCGATTGTGTGGATCTTCCTGCTGTCCGTGACGCATTGATGTTTAGCACGTACGTCGACGATATCTGTGTGGGTGGAGACACTGTGGAGGAAGCAGTCGCACTTCAAACTGGTTTAATAAACGTTCTACAACGGGCAGGAATGACATTAAAAAAGTGGTCGAGCAATACCCTCGCGATCTTAGATAAAGTGCCACCAGAAGATAGAGCCTGCGGGTTGTTGTCGTTTGATGATGATGCTAATAGTGGTTCAAAGGTCTTAGGCATTCAGTGGTCACAACGGGATGACACGTTTTCGTACATTGTTCAGTCAGAACGAYTAATTACAACTAAGCGGGGCATGTTGTCCTTGATTGCCCGTATATTCGACCCGCTTGGTCTGTTAGCTCCAGTGATATTCTTTGCAAAGCACTTGATGCAGCGCGTGTGGCAACTAGGTATTTCATGGGACGATCCGTTGCCCGCCGATATAGTTGACATTTGGGACAAATTCGTGGCGGATCTTCCGGTTTTGCAGCAAGTATCTATTCCCCGTTTCGTCGGTACCCAACTTGACGTCCAGTGTCATTTGTGCGGTTTCTGTGACGCGTCCGAAAGGGGATATTCCGCTGTCGTATATTTGAGATTATTTAATCACTCCGGACCGCCGGTCATTTCATTGTTAGGTGCCAAGACCAAAATGGCYCCTATTAAGGCGTCGACGATTCCACGTTTGGAACTCTGTGCGGCCGTGTTACTAGCTCGATGGATGGTTCGAGTTCAAACCACATTGAATCTTAAAGTTCGGATTGTAAAAATGTACGCGTGGTCAGATTCAACTACYGTTTTAAGTTGGCTGAAGGTACCACATGAAAAATTCAAGGTTTTTGTCTCAAACCGCATACACAAGGTGAAAACGTTGATACCAGATTGCCATTGGGGTTATATATCGTCAGCCAAAAACCCTGCAGATTGCGCGTCGCGAGGGGTTTTTCCTACGGAATTGTTCAATCACAAGTTGTACTGGGATGGACCTGAAATTCTGTACCAAGATGTTCTCGATGTGCCGACGTTAAGTTCAGACATCAATGTCGAAATGTTACCAGAATTGAAATCTCAATTGCCAGTGACGTTAGTAACCAACACGAGTGA